GCAATCTGAGTTGGCGCCGCACCGATGTGGAATGTGATCACGACTAACCGCTTGTCCTTTGGCTTTCAGGGCGCACTGAAGGATGCCCCCAATCTGATTTGCACACCGCACGCCGCCTTCTTCAGCGACGCGTCCGCCACGGAGCTGCGCGAAATGGCAGCCACCGAGATCCGGCGGGCGATCGTCGGCAATATTCCAGACGTGCTGAGGAACTGCGTCAACAAGGAGTACTTCATGCGCACGCCGCCTGCCGCTACCGCTGGGGGCGTGGCGGCGGCTGTTTATCCCGAAGGTAAACTACAAATGATATCAAATCAAGAAAAGTAGAGAGACAGAGACAGGCGAGCGAGGGAGCGTTATTACAAGTAAAACAAAACAAAAAAAAAAAAAAAAAAACGAAACAAACAGAAAAAAAAAAAAAAACAAACAAAAACATAAGAAATCAACCAACAAAATCCAAGCAAAAATACAATACCAGAAATCGTTTAAACACCCATACTTTACACACACTCACAACACAACACAACATACCATACCACACCCACACAAGCACACGCACAAGCACACAGATGTAGCAAGCATCCAAACATACTTCTATTCTTTCTCTGACTCATTCGAAAGTATATATATATATAGACGACGGGAGTGGAGCGCGCCAGAGAGAGTATATAACATTTGAAGCAAGATTCAAGAACACACGCTATAAGAGTTGATATATAAGTTACACAGTTTAAGCTATATAAATATATAGATCTATATATATATATATATATTCAAATATATATATGTAGTGGCTAAGCGCTGCACCAAGATCAGAATGTTTGGCGTCGATAAAAGGAGGATTAGAACGCAGCCGATGTTGGCCAAAAGTTACGTTTATTCAATATGTATCTGTGTATGTATATGCATTGTTTTGGCCATACCTACATACAAAAAAAAAAAAAAAAACGCTTTTGAAAACCTCTAAAGTATGTTTAGAGAGCTTTCACCGACTTTCCATACTCCTTCGCTTTGATAAATCCATTGCCTGAAGTTCGATTTAGATAAGAACGTCTTTGGTTCTTAAATTCAAAATTCAGCGTTTAAATGTGGCCAACTGTCCTCACTTTAGTCTACAACAATTACGTGCATATATAGTGACATAATATACATAGAAATGAATAAGTTTCAAGTTAATTTACACATGAAAACAAGGTGAAAGTAAACAATATGATGGATTATTGTTGTTGATGTTTCGCGACCTCCCTTCATCCCTCCCAAAACCCCTCACACGAGTCCGGCTTTAACTTTAACAGAAACTAGAAACAATCAGCGGAGAGTTTGTAAAGTAATTATGTTCAGTGTATTTAGCCATGTATTCAATGTATTTACAAATTAATATTATTACGGAAACAAAACCAAGCAAATGATTCCAATACGAGTAACTCCCCCACGTCAACACATTTTGTAAGCTTAAGAATAAAACATTGGTTACCTTATTTTGCGCCATTCATTGCTGACTTTCAATTGTTAAATGGTTCGAATTAGATTAAAGAACAAGCAACATCCCAGAGGACATAGTGTTTTAACTGAAATTCATTTTCTGTTGCTCAAGCTCTGCTCTATACTACAAAATGATCTCATCATTCAAGTTTATTTTCGCCTTACGTACATTCTTGTATTTCAATTGGCTACAACAAACAAACAGCAAGGAAGTAAATAACTAAACAACTATATATATTAAATAGATGACCACTCGGCGCGTTAGATTCAACCACATCTATAAATAGAAAGAAGAAAACTACAATTAAATTAATGCATAGTCTATGTACATTTAAAATATAACAGAAATTATATTAAAGCAACCCAGCAAACAACAACAGCAACAAAATGCTAAAAAGAAACAAAACATAAAAAAAGATAATACATGTAATATTAAAACCTAGATTTACCTTAACGATAAAGGCAGCTGAACGACGATGATAACAAGGATATGATCGTCGATCGTCAGCGAACGGCACATTAAACATTGTTAGCGTGTAAATTGTAATTTTATTTAACGAGAATATATATTTACATGTAAACGGAAGAGCGCAACAATTGTAAGACTATCATTTTGTACAATTTTGCAATTTAAGTTTAAAAACGAAAAAAGCTTCAAGCAGTCGCCACCAATGTTTGGATGGATTCTTCCTTCTTCCCTCCTTTTTATTTATCTAACTATCTAATCTAAACACTATTCGAAAAAGCTCAAGAACAGGCGAAATAACAGAATTCAATTCGATTCCTCTTAATCCACAATCCAAATTCCCCTTTTCCCAGACTTTTCCTCGTTTTTTTTTTTTGTTTTTTATTTTGTAACTTTTATTGGTTTGTAAGAACAAACATTTTTTGTAATATTTCAAACATTTACAAGCACAAAGCATACACGCATACACACACACACACAACATAGACACAGATACAGATACAGAGCAGTATACTCACACATCAAACACACACCCACGCACACACGCGATCCTATATAGCAAGCTGCAACAACAAATGAGCAAAGTAAAACATAAATAAGCATAAGCGTAAAAGTAAAAGTAAACGTAAACGTAAAAGTAATGAGTAATGAGACAAAAGAATAAAATACTGTTATTTTGTAATGTATAAAAGGATATTTTTAATAACTGTGAAAGCTAAATAAAATTAAAAGCGTAACAATTGACGATATGAAGCAACAAAAACGAAACAAAACAAAACAAAACAGAAAGTTAAGTCGGAGAAGTTGATTTGAAAACCAAGAAAACCTTTCCAGAAAAAAAAAAACAAAAACAAAAGATAAAAACAAATAAAACAAAATCTTTAATGAACCCATTAATGTTTTTAACTTGCCAAATTGGAAACTGTTAAATTGTTGTCCTCCTTTTCAATGTGTGGCAGTGTTTGCAAGACTGTTTGAAATGTTATTTCCCCTGCCAAATTGTATTTGCTTGTCCTGGGATGATGGCATCATGTTGAGAGCAAGCAGCTGAGCAGAAGCAGAAGCAGAGCACATTAAGATTAAAGTAACGCCACGCCCCGGCGAAAGTCAGTAATGAATGGAAACGCTGTGTCCGCTAGCCCTAGTCAATTTGTATCTAGTCCTAAGGAGCGGAAGGTCCACCAGAGATTCGCCGGTTCCTCCTCGTAATTCATTGCATCATTCAAAAAAGAAAAATCAAATCCAAAAAACAAACCAAGACTACTTCTCTCATAAATATAGTCCCAGAATCAGAATACACAGACTCGGCAACGTTTTTACTACCCGCACTCAGAAATCCCAGAACTCAGAACCTCAGAACCCGATAAAACATAATACCAACCAACCAACCAACCAAACAGCAACATTTCATAATCTTTACCTAACTTTCAACTACCAAAATACCAAATACCAATCAATACCAACCAAATCGAAATACAATCCAGGATTAAATGGCGGCTATTATACAGGCGCACTGCATCACCGGGCACACAGCACCACGCCGCACGATGGTCCACACAGTACAACCAACCTGGGCAGCACCGTAGGAGGCGGTCCGACGACAGTCGCTCAAGCTGCCGCTGCAGCTGTGGCCGCTGCGGCAGCCGCCGCCGCCCTCCTGCCGTCGCCGGTACCGCCGCACTTGTCGCCCCAGGTCGGCGGATTGCCACTTGGAATTGTGAGTAGCCAATCGGTAGGTAGCCCATTCCAAAAAAAAAAAAAAAAAAAAAAAAAACTCTTGTTGTCTTGTGTTTGTGTGTGTTGTTTGCCAAAGTTTGCCCAAGTTTGCCAATGTTTGCCATTTAGCCAATGTTTGCCAAGATTGATTCATCAGAGACAAGACACTCCTCTGTTGTGGTAATCGTGTGCGTGGTTCTCCCAGCTCTAGTCCGTGTTTGTTGCTAGTTGCTAGTTTGCTAGTTAGTCTAGTCGTAGTTGAGTGTTGGCTAGGCTAGGGCTATTTGCTCATCGAGCTCGCTGGAGACGATGCGTTTGCTAATCCTTGAACCTCTTGCTTTTAGCCCCTGAGTGCGCCCGACCCTAATAATCATCTGTCATCGAGCATAAAAACGGAGGTGAAGGCCGAGTCAACGGAGGCGCCGTAGGCATCTGCTGTCCAAGTGGCTGAAGCCGGAGGGCTGGAGCTGGAGCTGGAGTTGATGACAACGGGCAGTGGCGCAATGGAGTCCAGCACACACACAACTGGCCAAAAGAAGAAGGCGGCAGAGGAGGAGGAGGAACGAGCAGTCCCCTGAAGATTTTAAGTAAAGGAAAACCAACAACCAAGGAGGAGCAACAGGCGGAATCCAGTCCCTAAGGATTAAAATAAAAGAATTGAAAAGAAAAGAAGAACAACCCAACCCAATCCAACCCCCGAGGAGTAGTAGTCATCTATGTGGAGTCCCCTAATCGTGCCGTTTTGTTCTTTTGTTCCGATTGCAAAACAGATTCATTGCGCGTCTGTGCCAGCGCTTGATTTGAATATTTCCAAGTTTCTATGTTTTAATTTAAAATACAATACATATTTGCATTACCAATCCCCCAAAACAAACAACAAAACAAAACAAAACAAAAAACACAACACATAATAAAGAACGCAGGAAAACGAGGAGCAGCAATTCGATCGATGAGGAGTATGATTGAGATGATCCCCACACACACAACACGCCTCAAAATTTACTACATATTTAGACTTTAATTTGTAACTATTTAGAATTTTACAGTTACAATTTAAGATTTTTATTTGTATTGCAGCAAATTGTAAGTGAAAATATGTTACTACATATAAGCGCAAAAACAAACGCAAATGTTGGAAAATTTTAATTACGAGAAACGAACACAATTATGGCATACAAAATAAAAAAAAATAAAATAAAAACAAAAAACAAAACAAAAGCAACACACAAGAGAGACGTTTAGTGCTAAGATACGTTTAAAGTACATAATAAAAGAAAAACAAAACAGAACAGAAAAGCGAGAAACACCTGTATTTGAATTGAATTGACACACGCTCTTTATCATCGACTGGAATACAATATAGTACATTTATTTGAGACGCTCACAAACAAACAAACAAAGGCTCGTTTGCTTTTGCTTCGGGTGGTAGGTTCTATTCTAAATGCTACATAACTCCACTTACGGAATAGCAAATCTACGCAGCTAATAATCATGCGTCAAGATACATACAGACTGCTTATAGTTCGCTAGGTAATCGTATTTCTAAAACATTTGTTACGTTTACAACGCTCAGATATAGAATATAGTATAGATAAAGTACATGTAGGTTGGTATGTTTCGGTTTTTGTTTTGTAAAATTCCTCATTTTTTTTTTTTTTTTTAGCATTTAGCTTTAGTTATACATTTATAACACACGGCCATTGGAAGGTCCATCACGTATTACCACAATTCTGAACAGTACTAGCTAACTTTTAGATTTTCGCTACGGAATGAACAACATCTATGAGTAGGAGTGGAAGATAAAGTTATGCTAATGCAGAGGCGGGGCTTCTATATATGTAGTATTCTTCTTGACATTTACATTGCATTCTCGAGCTAGGAAACCTTGTACATACAACATGGAATACGATGCCTTAACTATCCAAAACTTAGTTTCATATACATGTGGTTCTTTTGAGTTAACAATCAGGTGGACAATAACATGTGAGTTTTTTTTTTAGACATTTTCGAAATTAAATCAAAACGGGTTGGAATGGTTAATAACAAATTAAAAAACCTTTTAAATTAGGGAACAGAAATCACCTAAAGTCGGAAATTTATATTTTATGCCCGTCAAATTGCTTGGAACTCGGTACTTTTAAAACTAGGTTTATGTGTAATGGTCTTTTGGGCTTGTGTTTAGTGGTAGTATCCGCGTATGCAGGTATAATACATCCATGGATATATTTCGTATATAAACGAGTCTATCAAAACATCATTGTACAATAAAATACAATACAACTAATTCGGTTCATCTGCGTTCTGCGATCAAATGTGTGTAAATCAAGCGCAGGGAGTCGTAAGATTACTAAAAACAAATTCAACAACATAGCAGACGCAGGGTATACAGGCGCCTCATGCTTGGTCCACAGTCCACAGTCCATCTAAAAGAAGCGGGTCAAACGGGGCCGGAAGAAGCGGAAGGCACCGTAACATCCCAGGCCAATCAAACCGTACTTCAGCGTATATGTGCAGACGCGTTGGCCGAGGCTGGCCGGCGGAATTTCGAGAATGGCCGGAATCTTCTTGGGGTCCACGGTGCCCCACATCTTGGCAATGCCGTTGGCATGGCCGATGCCCACCACTCCGACGACGCGCACCGGACGGATCTGCTGGGCACCCGGTGCCGCTTGAGGCAGTGCAGCCAGCTGCAGCGAGTGGCACAGGAAAATGTCGCGTTCGCGCACAAAAACGTCCGAGAAGGCTGGGAACTCGCCGGCCATCTCCTGCATCAGTTTCTCCAGCAGGTCGCTCTGCTTGCACTCCTCCACCTCCTCGATGCTGATGCTGTCCGTGAAGGTCAGACGCCAGACCAGCTTCATGGTCTGCCACAGCGACAGGGCACGCAGGGCGCGGTACAGGGTGATGCGGATCGGACGATCGCCCAGGTGCAGAATGCAGCCGGGCAGCTTGTGGATCTCCTCGAAGGCACGCCGGAACTCTCCGCCCGGCGCCATGCCCAGATCCTTGGCGATCTGGGCACTCATCTGCAGCAGCAGAATGAAGAATATGCCGTTGATGTAGCCATGAGTGTGCAGGATTCCGCGAATCTAAAGGCGATATATAGTGGATGATCAGTGGAATTTAGTTTTGTCTTTGAACTGTGATGATCATTACCTTGGGAATATTGATGCTCTTGGCCTCTTCCAACAGCGTCTTTTCATCGAGCTTCAGGATGTGAATACGCGATGGACACAGCTCAACCATGACCACATCTGGACGGACATTGCGTATGACCTTAGGAATTGAGACCATGTTCAGTAACTTTTGTTAAAGAGGAATTAGGGCACTCACATATGAGACGTCATCCTGCGACTCCTCGCTAAAGTGGGCCGTGCCCACAAGATAGACCTTGCTGCCGAAAGGCGTGTTTAGCAGCGTCACCGTCGACGGCAAATTCTGTTCGAACTCCTCAATGGTGTCGTAGATTGTGATGTCGCGCTTGGTCTGCGGCTGATCGATGACCGGCACCAGATCCCGCTTTTCGCCAGCGCCATCGCCAACCCCATTGCCATTACCATTTCCATTTCCATCTGCTGCTGCCGAAGCCTCGGCAATGGAGATGTCCAGCTTCTGCTTGCTCGTCTGCAGCAGTGATTCCTTGCGACGCCGCTTGTCGATTGAAGCGCTTGCAGATGATGCCGTGGCATCCTTGCTGGGCGACTTCTTGAGCAGATTCTTTACGTTGTCGCCCTCCACCAGCACCACCTCCTTCTCGAGGTCCTCCTCCTTGATCGAGTTATCGTTAATCTCTATAATTGACAGGTTGGGATTATCCGTCTTGAATATTGTCTTATTGGCCAGCTGCGACTTGGGGTCCACCTCCTCCTGCGAGGTGTTTGTGTCCGTGCTCTCCGACTGAATCAGCAGCATGCTGGCATTGAGTGCTGGTGTGGGACTGTTGAAAGCGGCCGGCGCCGGGGATCCGAAGGACTTGAAGACAGCTGACTCATTGCCAAACTCTGCACTGCCTGTTTTGTTGGCCGATGTTAAGGGGCCCAATGGATTTTGGCTCAGTTCGCTTATAAGACTCTCTGTGGATTGGAATGAAAGAATAAAAAGATAAGTTACAACCAAGTTTACTAAATATGTAACAGAAAATATAACATTTGTGTTTAAAGAAGCGGTTGCCTAATTGTTTACGGAATATGTCTTCATTGTCTCTTTAGTTTTTAAAAATAAAAATATAAATTATTCCTTTAAGATTTCCTGTTCATATAGAACTTCCAGCTGGTTAACATATTCTTCTCCGCAACTTTGATCACAAATATCGGTCAGTAAAAACTGCTTAAGCAGATCGAAACACTTTTCCTTCATGGCTAAAGCGCTTCTTTTGTGGCTTTCTTCTTGTTTGGCCAACTGATTTTCATACTTTTCAATAAACCTTTGCATCACCTTCTTAGCCTTCTCATTGACAATGTTTTGAAGCGAAATTTTCTGGCGCTCGTGGGCGTGAATGCACATTTTCTGCACAATTTTTCTTAGCTCGTAGTCCAAGGTTTTGAAATGATCTGTGAGTTTTTCATCGCCCGCAAAGGCTTCGAACATTTGCGAAATGAAATGCGAGGGAAACGTCTCGGGATCTTGGGATTGCAAACTATGTCGAGCTGCCAGCATTAATGTTTTCTTGATACCCTTGCTAAAGTTCGACTTTTGGATGTTCTCCATGCTGAGTTTCTTTAGCCTTTGCTGCTGGTAGTTCGTTTGGATTTGCAGGGCAGCTAGCTTAAGTTTGAGCGTCTTGACCTTACGATCGAGGTTGACATGTTCCTCTTTAAGGTCTTTTTGGAGGTAAAGAGCTCCAGAATCTGATGTTCCATCGCTGTTTGACCCCAGCAGCTCCTCCAGATTTGCGAGGTTCGTGAAGGGGGCACTTAAACGACCACTTGCGGTCAACTGACACTCCATTCTCCGAAGGAGACGATGGCGTTCTGTCTCCTCAAGCCTGTTGCAGTGCTGCAAGGTGTCCAGCCAGCGCCTGCAGAGATCACGATCCTCGGAATTCTGCGACAGCGTGCGGATGAGCTGAAAGATCGGATCTATTTGCTCTTTGGTTGATTGTCCACTGTCTGTTAACAAGGGGGAACGGTTCTGAAGGAAGATCTGGTCTGGTTGATCCTCAGAATGATGAATACAGTCTGGTTCTTGGGTTTCATAGCCCGGTGAATGATTCTCTCGAAATATGTGGTGAAGCTGGTCCTCCGTTTGCTGGATTCCGTCTGTTTTCAGGACTTTGAAGGCTTTGGATGGGTTCTGCTTACCATTACAGGACTTATAGGCCGTGGTGGACAGCTGGTGATCCAGAGCACTGTCGTACAGTGTGTTGTCGCCCACGTAGGTGCTGCTCCTTTTGTCCGGCGAGGCTTCAAACGACGTGGAGGCGGACACGTCCATTGTTTGGTGCACTGGGGTTCAGTTGGCCTGGAAGATTCGGTTACGAGTGGAAATTCGGTTTCGGTTGACGGCGACGTTTGAACATCTGGCGAAGAACTGTGAAGTGGCAAAGTTAAAGAGAGATTATCAGAGGCATATAGATAATACGCTGCTGTACTCTCTGCAAACTGCAAATTTGTGTTAATTTCTGCCTACGTGTCGTCGCTCATTGGCAGATGAATGTGGGCACTGGGCCTTATTCCACTGACTGCTAGCTGCTGACTGAATATGTGATCTGTCTATATACCCATAATCTGAATATTTCACCTGGGCATTCCTCGATCCCGATTTACTCACCTGAAAATTTGTGATTAGTGTGGGTGTTGCACTCTGCTAAAGGTTCGGGGTGCATGAGCAAACCCTTAATTGACTATTTTGTTGCCGATGGGAACTCAGTTCGGCTGCCACTGATTGCCGTTCTAATTCCGTGCGTGCACTTAATTTTAATAAAAACCCAAAAAACTAAAGAAATTAAATTGTGACTGTGGCAAATTGTCGTTTTCTTCTTCTTCCCAGCGTCGACCAGTGTTGCGTAGTGGTGGAGAAACATCGATGCCATCATCGACGAATTCGATGCTTTCCTTGTACGGAAATCACAGATATCGATTGAACAGTCGTTTAATTGTCGATTAGGCGCCATTTGTTTGGAAAATTCAAAATCAATCCCTTTGGCGTTTCTGATAAGAGGTAAATGTTTATTTGTTGATAAATCGTTTTTAAATATTTGCAACATGGCTTACATTGTTTATTTCAAGATTCTTGTATAGTTTTGTTTTAAAATAAAGGTGAAGCTGACATTCTTGCTTAAGTATGAATAAAAGTGATAAGTAAACACTAAATTACCTAAAATTTTGTAAGAGATTTTTCAAATCGAACATTTTACTACTATTACTACTACTAGGGGTTCTATAATTTGTTTTAAAGTAAATATTTTATAATCATTAGTTGTCTTTATGACAATGACTTTGATCAACGAAGAAGTTCAATCGATATATTTCAGCATAGTAGCTTATTCGATTATTTTTTTGGTATATTTTGCTCCACCAAACTTTTTGGGGTCCCCTTATTATACCGTATAATCGAATGGTATTTTTAATTGTCACGTTGCGGTCACACCTTTGTTTTGTTTTGCTTTGCAACACGACTTTTTAAATTGCAATTGCAGCATGGCCGAAGAACCCGAGGAACCCGGCAAGGTAGGGATTATATAAACATAAAGGCAATGTGTAGCTATGTAATAAAGTACCACATTAATCAATCCCACAGAGCTTCGTTATCTTTGGACGTGATGTGTCGCAAATCCCATGCTTTCGTAACAGTTTTCTCTACGGAATCAGCGGCGGTATCGGAATCGGATTGCTAACTTTTCTGGGCACCTCGCGAACCCACCTTTCCACCCACGTGGGCTTCGGATCCTTCTTCTGCGGCACCATCGTCTACTGGATGTCCTGCAGGTAAGTGGATTTTTATTAATCCCAATGACCCTATAGTAATTACATCTAACTTTCAGATATCAGTGGTCCTCGAGGAGATTTGAGCAAACGCAACTTCGGGAGGCGATGCGACGACAAGCTTTATATGAGGGCACCGAAGTCGAGCGGGATTTAGATCTTAAGTCTGCGTAGCATAAGTAATAAGTCAGTTCCTAACCCATTTGACTACTGCGATTCTTATGTTTGCACTCGGGTACCAAGTAGTTCAGGTATTGTTAAATCCTTTTTTGTTGTAAAATCCCTTTTGTTACCGAACACATTTATAGTAGCCAATACAATATAATGTAAGTGAAATCTTACCTTGAAGTTTAAACGACATAATTGAGTTTTTCATGCTTGTTATGCTGTATATAAACATGTTTTGTTGTCTTACCTGATGTGTTTTTTTGTGTGCTAGATTTTAACGCTATATGCAGATTTTTAAGCCAAAATGTAGTTTATTAATGATCAGTCAAACATTTTGTCTTTATAGCCCAATCTTAACAAGCTTAAAAAACCGGATTTTTTATGTGTTTTCCATTTGATTTAAACTTACCAGTTATTTTTCTATTGTTGTAGAACATTGAACCTAATATAAAATGTGATTTGTTTGTTTTTATTATCTTTTACCTTTTTATGTAGACTGCTGTAGAAACTACGGATATGGACAGCCCCTCATAAAATGCTTTATTTATATGACATCCTAACACTACAAGTAAAACTTTTTATTTCATGTGCTAGTCACGATATTTAGGTATTGGATATATGGCTTTTAAAATAAAATATTGTTGGGTACTAGATAAATTACTCAAACAGCTGTTAGCAACACTTACTTACTTACTTACTATTTAAATGTCAAATATATAGCTAAGGTAATTTGGATAATAGTTTTATGGAAACGAAATGTGTTCTATAGCTATATTCCCATTAACATTATTAATTTATTCTATTAAAGCCACTTTTCAGGTCTTAAAAGTGTGTCTACCACTGAAAGAAAAGGTCAAGGTCCAATACTATTTTATCGTCCTAAATCAAACAGGCTAATAATCAATGTATCTTGATACCATGATACCATTTTTTAATTTAGGGAGGGACAACTTAAAACTACATTTATCTGAAAACCTGTAAATGAAATATCTTAGGCTGTGTAAAAGGCAACCTAATGAAAATCGATGGACAGCTCTTAAATGACTATCCAACATTCTTTTCCTTCTACCTGACTGTTTAAATGACTATCTGGGATGTTAGATAATGAGGAAAATTCCCCGTCGAAAGAAACCCATAGATGTGGGTATTTGTGAACACATGCGAGCATGAAGCGATCCTTCAGTTTGTCGCACTCCCAGCCTTATCTCAGAAAAGTCGGCGTTTGGATGAATTTCTCGGTCGGTCGCTGGCAAATTCATTACGTTTTCGTTGACGGCGCGAGGCGGTTGTGTTTTTATTTTGTTCGGCGGGCGCACGAGGTTCTCGTCTAATTTTTAAAAACTTGTTTTACATTCGAAGAACGAAGCCACCATACATATATGTAAACGAATCGCACTTGCAGGCTGGCACTTTATTAAGGCATTGCTACTGGAGAGATACAACGGCACGATGTCGGGTGTTTTGGTGTTTTTTGTGAACGGAAAAAAGGTACTCAAAAGATACTCGGATACGTTGCGTGTTCTTAACGTCGGTTAAATTAAGGCATAGTGCTATTCCCATATCGATTTTCTCTTGATTTATTGCTTTAATTGCGTCTAACTGGCAATTAATGGAAATTGCCGTCTTGCCCAATTGAATGCGTCGTATACGTAATACATAGTATTTATTGATAACAATTGACCCCTATATGTGGAGGATCGTTCTGTTTGCTGGTGGCCCCTTATCACCTTATCAAGATCGTACGTTTGCCAATCGAATGGGAGCAGCAGTTTGGGAGCTGGGAATGGAAATGGGAATGGGAATGTGGGTCTGGCCTGATAGCCAGGCCTTCTAATCCACCACAAATTCCGACGCGCTCTACAATGTTTACATTGTGGCACACAATTAAGTAAGCGGGGCTATATTAGCCAGATAAAACGGCTAAAAAAACAGACGGCTTTAACCACTGGAGTTAGAAAAGTGCAATTAAAGTTCTTAGATTTACGCCCACAGCGTGCGCACAAGTGGTATGGCAACAATAAACTTGTTGCGCTCGTGTTTGATAGTGAACCAGATAGCGGTCTTTATTAAAACAGGGCTGGCAGACTCACAACTGCATTCTAATCTTTCAACAGTTTTGACCCATTATCCAAACCTGGCTACGCCCATGGTTAATAATACTACAGACGTTCAAAGTTTAAAAATAAATAGATTTTCTATTTATAGAAAGCAGGCCAAAAGAATGAAACCGTAGTCACTCAGTTTGTATTTAGTGCAATGAACTAAAAATTATGGGTTAAAACTTAAAAATAAGATGGATGTAATCTTCCTTCAATCTACATCTACACGCATTAGGAGAATTTTTTTTTAACAAATCTATTTAATATCAAGATGAGAAACCATAAATGTTAATCAATTAAGATTTTACTCATTCAAGTCCTAATCTGTATGATGATACGATGAACTTTCGTATAAATTAGGTTGAGGGCTAAATTTAGGTAAATAAGGAAAACTGCATATCAGTAAACTTTCTTGATAGTTAACCACTTAATAAGATTCCTTTGAGGAAAAAGTTTAGGTTAAGAAGGATATATATGTCCTTACTTTATATGACAAAAAAATGGAGAGATTATTTCATTTCATTAATTTTTCATAAAATTATAATAAATTATAAAATATTCACTTAAAGTGCTAAGTTAGGGTAAATTAAAAAAAAAGAATGTTTTTGAATTTATTAACCAGGAATATTATTTGCTAATCCGGCTATAGTATACATAAACCATCTTTCTCATAAATTATTCTTTTATTTTTTTATTTTAGTTAAGTCTTTTAAAGTACAAGAAAGGGATACTTTCGTAATTTGTGTTTTTTAATCGTTTAAAACGTTTAAAAACATTTTTTTCCAAAAATATTTTTACTGGGGCATGGACCCTTCAAAATAAAGGTGGTTTGCAGTCATGTTAAAAATTTAACATATAAAACTTATGCTTCGTAATTGATTTGTATATAAAAAATAGTTTACAAATTTAAAAAAATTGGACTAAATAAATTTTTTCGATAATGTAATGTAACCAATGTAACCGTCCGTTTCAAACCATTTCAAAATACTTTAAATTGAAAAAAAAAATTGAAGAAAACCCTACTCCATCATTATTAAAATATTTCTATTGCAGGTGACCGAAGTGAGTCCGGATCCGGAATGTACGCTCCTCACGTATTTGCGCGAGAGACTGCGGCTGTGTGGCACCAAGTTGGGCTGTGCGGAGGGTGGCTGTGGCGCCTGCACCGTGATGGTGTCCCGCCTGGACCGGCGTGCCAGTAAGATCCGCCATTTGGCGGTCAACGCCTGCCTCACTCCGGTGTGCGCGATGCACGGCTGTGCGGTGACCACGGTGGAGGGCATCGGGAGCACCAGGACGCGGCTGCATCCGGTGCAGGAGCGGCTGGCCAAGGCGCATGGCTCCCAGTGCGGCTTCTGCACGCCGGGCATCGTGATGTCCATGTACGCCCTGCTCCGAAATGCCGAGCAGCCCTCGATGCGGGACCTGGAGGTGGCCTTCCAGGGCAACTTGTGCCGCTGCACTGGCTACCGTCCCATCCTCGAGGGCTACAAGACCTTCACCAAGGAGTTCGCCTGCGGCCTGGGTGACCAATGCTGCAAGGTGAATGGCAAGGGATGTGGTTCCGTATCGGACGAAACGGATGACAAGCTCTTCGAGCGCAGTGAGTTCCAGCCCCTGGATCCCAGCCAGGAGCCCATCTTTCCGCCCGAATTGCAGTTGAGCGAAGCCTTCGACACGCAGAGCTTGGTGTTCAGCTCGGATCGGGTGACCTGGTATCGGCCCACCAAGCTGGAGGAGCTGCTCCAGCTGAAGGCCCAGCACCCGGCGGCCAAACTGGTTGTGGGCAATACGGAGGTGGGCGTGGAGGTGAAGTTCAAGCACTTCCTGTACCCGCACCTCATCAATCCCACCCAGGTGGAGGAGCTGTTGGAGGTGCGCGAGTCCCCGGATGGCATCTACTTCGGTGCCGCTGTCAGTTTGATGGAGATCGATGCCCTACTGCGGCGGAGGATTGAGGAGCTGCCGGAATCGGAGACCCGTTTGTTCCAGTGCACCGTGGACATGCTGCACTATTTCGCCGGGAAGCAGATCCGCAACGTGGCCTGCTTGGGTGGCAACATTATGACCGGCAGCCCCATCTCCGACATGAATCCCGTGCTCTCGGCGGCGGGTGCTCAACTGGAGGTGGCCAGTTTCGTGGATGGCCAGATTCGCAGGCGGACTGTTCACATGGGCACCGGATTTTTCACCGGCTACCGCAGGAATGTCATCGAGGCACACGAGGTCCTGCTGGGCATCCACTTCCGGAAGACCAGTCCGGATCAGTATATTGTGGCCTTCAAGCAGGCCAGACGAAGGGACGACGACATAGCCATTGTGAATGCGGCCATAAATGTTCGTTTCGCGGAGCACTCCAATCTGGTGGCGGAGATTTCGATGGCCTTCGGCGGAATGGCTCCCACCACCGTGCTGGCTCCCCGGACAGCCCAGTTGATGGCTGGCCAGGAGTGGAACCACCAGCTGGTAGAGCGTGTGGCCGAGAGCTTGTGCACGGAGCTGCCCTTGGCCGCCTCGGCTCCCGGTGGCATGATTGCCTACCGTCGAGCTCTGGTGGTTAGTCTATTCTTCAAGGCCTATCTGGCCATCAGCCTGAAGTTGAGCCAGTCGGGAGTGGTGTCCTCCGATGCCGTGGCGCCCGAGGAGCGAAGTGGTGCCCAGACCTTTCACACTCCCGTCCTGAAAAGTGCCCAGCTCTTCGAACGCGTCTGCAGCGATCAGCCCATCTGCGATCCCATTGGCAGACCACAAGTGCATGCGGCCGCCCTTAAACAGGCCACCGGGGAGGCCATCTACACCGATGACATTCCCCGCATGGATGGCGAAGTCTATTTGGCCTTTGTGCTGAGCACCAAGCCGCGGGCCAAGATCACCAGACTAGATGCCACCGCAGCTTTGGCCTTGGACGGAGTGCATCGGTTCTTCTCGTACAAGGACCTAACCGAGCATGAGAACGAAGTGGGTCCGGTGTTCCACGACGAGCACGTCTTCGCCGCCGGAGAGGTGCATTGCTATGGACAGATTGTGGGCGCCATAGCTGCGGATAACAAGGCATTGGCCCAGCGAGCCGCTCGCCTGGTCAATGTGGAGTACCAGGAGTTGAGTCCGGTCATTGTGACCATTGAACAGGCCATCGAGCACAAGTCCTACTTCCCGGACTATCCGCGTTTCGTGACCAAGGGCAATGTGGAGCAGGCCCTGGCCCAGGCGGACCACACCTTCGAGGGCACTTGTCGAATGGGCGGGCAGGAGCACTTTTATTTGGAGACCCATGCGGCACTGGCCGTTCCTCGGGACAGTGACGAACTGGAGCTATTCTGCTCCACACAGCATCCGTCGGAGGTCCAGAAACTGGTGGCCCATGTCACCGCACTGCCCTCCCATCGGGTGGTTTGTCGCGCCAAGCGGCTGGGCGGTGGCTTCGGCGGCAAGGAGTCGCGCGGCATCTCGGTGGCCCTCCCGGTGGCCTTGGCCGCCTACCGCATGGGTCGGCCCGTGCGCTGCATGCTGGACCGCGACGAGGACATGCTCATCACCGGCACCCGCCATCCCTTCCTGTTCAAGTACAAAGTGGGCTTCACCAAGGAGGGCCTCATCACTGCCTGCGACATCGAGTGCTACAACAATGCCGGCTGGTCCATGGATCTGTCCTTTTCGGTGAGTACAACAATGCATGACGAGGCTATCCCTTAAGTGGGTATATAGAGGGATCTAGGGGAAAAACATTTCGGGTATGAAAGAATTTCAAATTATAAAAAATAAAATACTTTTCCTAATTGTTGCTTTAGACTTTTCTGTAATCAACTTCAAAGGAAAACAAATTTCCTATTGCCAAGTGAGAGTAACAAGATAAACGTAAGGAAGCACTTCAGTTTACAGATGGTGCATCAATGTCATGGACTTCGAAATTTTTTTTTCTTTATTAAGGTGACGGTATTAGACTAATTTTGAAATTAAGGTAATCGTTTAAGTTTTCCCTAAACAAATTGCCATCATAAAATACAATAAGCTGAATATTGTACTACTCTCTTTTATATATTTTTTTTAATATTAAAACCATTTACAAAAATAATTTAATTACTCGGAGTGAAACTTTGTTTTTGTATAATTTTGTACCATTTTGGTTCATCTTAAAATACTTCCTTTTTTATTTGTGTCCATGTTATTTATCAAAGTAGGCCAGGAGCTCCCTAAGCCATGGGTGGCATGAATAATCTTGAAACCACTTAACATCCATGCAACATATGTATGTATGTATACTAAAGGTGGGAATTTTGGAATATAAGAATTTTCTTCAAAGTTAGTTAACTTTGAGCTTACTGAGACTATTCATTTAGGTAAATAAGTATCCCTCTGGTTAGGAGACATAACACTAATAAAACCATCCAAAAACTTGTAATACAATCTTGAATTTACTTAATTTAAAGTTTGTATTAGTGAAGGTCGAGATAGTTTATGATAGTTAAATAATGATGATTTTTTTCTGGAAGACATTAAATTCCAGAAATTGTTTTACATGTTTGATTTTATTAAATTTAAATTGTCTATTAATGAAGGACCTTAAATGATACAATAGTTGATAGCTTATGTTCTTGTGGTTAAACTAATTTGGTGTTACATTTCAGGTTCTGGAGCGTGCCATGTACCACTTTGAGAACTGCTACCGCATTCCCAATGTCCGGGTGGGCGGATGGGTGTGCAAGACGAACCTGCCCTCGAACACGGCTTTCCGTGGCTTCGGAGGTCCCCAGGGGATGTACGCCGGCGAGCACATTATCCGGGACGTGGCCCGGATAGTGGGTCGTGAGGTGGTGGACGTGATGCGGTTGAATTTCTACAAGACAGGAGACTACACGCACTACAACCAGCAGCTGGAGCACTTCCCCATCGAGCGGTGTCTGGAGGATTGTCTCAAGCAGTCGAGGTACAACGAAAAGCGCATGGAGATCGCACGCTTCAATCGGGAGAATCGCTGGCGGAAGCGTGGAATGGCCGTGGTGCCGACGAAATATGGAATTGCCTTTGGGGTGATGCACTTGAATCAAGCGGGCGCCCTGATCAATATCTATGGCGATGGATCGGTGCTACTGTCGCACGGCGGCGTTGAGATTGGCCAAGGACTCAACACCAAAATGATTCAGTGTGCGGCCAGGGCGTTGGGCATACCGCCGGACTTGATCCACATCTCGGAGACGGCCACGGATAAGGTGCCCAATACGTCGCCCACGGCGGCGAGTGTGGGATCCGATATAAACGGCATGGCAGTGCTGGATGCCTGTGAGAAGCTGAACAAGCGACTGGCGCCCATCAAGGAGGCCCTGCCCGACGGAACCTGGAAGGAGTGGATCAACAAGGCCTATTTCGATCGGGTCAGCCTGTCCGCCACCGGATTCTATGCCATGCCGGGCATCGGCTATCATCCGGAGACGAATCCCAATGCCCGCACCTACAGCTACTACACCAACGGTGTGGGCGTCAGTGTGGTGGAGATCGACTGCCTGACTGGCGACCATCAGGTGCTCAGCACCGACATCGTCATGGACATCGGGTCGAGTCTGAATCCGGCCATTGATATTGGACAGATCGAGGGAGCCTTCATGCAGGGCTATGGCCTGTTCACTTTGGAGGAGCTCATGTACTCGCCGCAGGGAATGCTCTACTCCAGGGGCCCCGGCATGTACAAGCTGCCGGGATTTGCCGATATTCCCGGAGAGTTCAATGTCAGCCTGCTGACCGGTGCCCCCAATCCACGGGCTGTCTACTCCTCCAAAGTAAGTTGATTTGTTTATTTATATTTATAATTTTACTGCAGTTTATCCATCCATTATCTTATCACATTAAAAAAGTAATGTTTTAATTTTTATAAAAGCCTACTTCTTGAATAAAATTTAGACTACAATTAGCTGATTGAATATTTCATGAGTGGATTTTTTAACCGCTATTTAATATTTCTATTGCTTTAACGCTTAATTGAATACATAATACAAGTGCTTTCAAATTGATACACATTTCGGCTAATTTTATAGTCTTTTACCACCATTTAACCACTTTAAAATTTGTCCTTTTTTAATATTTTTTTCACAGGCTGTAGGAGAACCCCCACTCTTTATAGGATCATCAGCGTTCTTTGCCATCAAGGAGGCCATTGCAGCTGCTCGCCAAGATCAGGGCTTGAGTGGAGACTTCCCACTGGAGGCACCTTCTACATCGGCTCGCATTCGAATCGCCTGCCAGGATAAATTCACAAAATTGGTAGGTGCTTTGCTATCAAAGTTTTATATATTTAAAAAACTTATTAATGATACAAATTTACTTGCAGCTTGATATGCCCGAGCCAGGAAGTTTCACCCCATGGAACATTGTGCCTTAATAATAGTTTTATTTAAATCTGAAGCAGACTGTTTTCAACAGACTTTTTTAATTGTAAATTTGTTTTTGTACATAACTAAATCAAATAAATGTTTGCAAGAAATTGTTTGAAATATAATAAACTATTATAATTTAAATTCGAGCGATTGATTGGATTAGGAAATTATTTGAAATCTTGTTCTCTTGTATTGATATTTCTTTGATCTGAAGTCGCTTGTAGTAAAGTTCACAATGTTCGCCTTTTTCACTTAAAAAGTGATTACTTAGATTGCCTTTGGGAATAGTTTACTCATAAACTCAACTTCCTTTATAGCTAAGAATTGAATAGGTTCATAGTCACTAGTTTTTTAGGTATATATTAATCAAACGGCAGTTTAAATATAAATGTGATCTTATTATGTCTACGTTATGGACCTTGATCTTGAATCGAGGGCGGTACATTTCCGATTTTCGTACGAAAGTGTACCCCAAAATATAAGCGCAAGTAGAAAATGTTTCGGGTTATTTGAGACGAGATTTTGTCGAGCTTCTCATTCGGCAACCGTACGCCCGGGAGCGTAGACATCAGACATGGGGTCGCTAAATTGCTGGCTTCTTGAGTTCGTGTTAATTTCAGCGTCGTCAGTTGTATCGACCAATCCGCAAAACTATTATTACAATGGATACGCACAGAGCGCACCTTGGTCTGGAGTGGGTTCTACGTATGTTTCGATTGATAACTACGGAAATTGCCAGGCCCACGATCGTCCTTTGGTTGGAAGATGTGTGAGGTATGTGGATTGCATCAGTGCTCTGCAATCGGTGCCCCAAGTGACGCCACTACTTTGCCCATCGTCGTGGCCCAATCAGCTGGTGTGCTGTCCCCATGGCGGATACTTGATTTCGGCACCCAGGATCTCGAAAAGCGAGGAAGGTGCGTGTGGTAACCCTAGCTTATCTTTGTATCAAGCGACCACTTCTTTCTTTTAGCCTGTTCAAATGCTTATTCAAGAGTTCATCATAAGCGCCGTCGTCGGCGGCGTCGAAATCCTACCTACAATGAAGATCAAGTGAAACTAGTTGAGCCCATTATCCAAAAGCGCAATCACAGCGATGATTTCCTGGTGGGCGGCAGACTCACCCTGGATAACGAGCATCCCTATATGGTAAGCAATATAAGAAATATATAATATATATAATAAATAAATAAATAAATAAGTCTAAATATTCTCTTGTGAATTGAACCAGATTAAGATAAAATTTAATTTGTGGTAATAATAAACCCTGAGAATATATATATTGATCACTCCACTCACACATTGATCACTCCACTCAAGTGATTAAGATCCCAAAAATTCTTGCACTTTTTCTGGGCCAGTTATTAAGAATTAAACAAATTTACAATGGTTGTTTATCATTTTAAACTATGTTCTTGTTCATTTATAACCTTGGACAAAGTAAAAAAAAATATTAAAATGATAAAGTAAGAAAGTAATCTGAAATATATTTGTTTGTATTTGCATCATAAATATTTATGATAGATTTTTTTCAATATATATATTTTTTTAAATGATAGAAATTGGCTGCATACATTTTGATTTGTTTATTTTAATCAGCTTTAAAATACTTGTGTTTTGATTGATTTTCTTACAGTGTGCCATCGGTAGTCCTTTCCGCACAAACAGCAAGCGCAGGTATACGTTCAACTGTGGCTGCGTGATGATTTCGCCGCGGTTCGCTATAACGGCAGCCCACTGTGCCAACATCGGCGGGTAAGGCTGCAAAAAAACGTCGACGAAAACACTCGAAATGCTAATGAGTTTTCTGGCTCTTGGAAACCAAAAGGGAATCCCCGTCTGTGGCGTTGATCGGTGGCGTTGACTTGAACAGCAACCGCGGGCAGCTAATAGAAATCCAACAGATCACCAAGCACCCGCACTTCGATGAGGAGACCCTTACCAACGACTTGGCACTGGTCAAATTGGCCAGGAGATCCCACAAGCCGGTGGCCTGCCTGTGGAACCACGAATCTCTGCCAGAAAGTCCGCTGACTGCCCTGGGATATGGACAAACCAAGTTCGGTTCGTGCAAATTAAAGAAATTTATCCCTTAAATATATTAACAAATGATTAATCATAAAATATTTAATAGCTGGCCCCCACTCCAATGAATTGCTGCAAATAATGCTTTACCCCTTGGACATTCAACAATGCCGGAGATATTTGCAAAACGATGACAAGCTGGTTAATGGTTTAGGACCGGGACAGCTATGTGCGGGAGATTACTCTGGTAATATGGACACTTGTCAGGTAAACAATTACTAAAGCTAGTTACATTAAATTAAATACAAAATATATATGTTTTTATATAAAACAAGAAGGAACGCTATAGTCGAGCTACTTAGCTGACCAGAAAGTACCGAAAATGTATATTTATGCTAATAAGTGGGATTTGGGATGAGTCGATAGTTGTTAACCGATAAAGCTTAATACCCGACCTCTACAATATCTCAGAGTAACATGACAGACTTTTGTGATTTGTTGACTTTGGAACGTGTGTGGCCCAACGGGTATAAAATTTATAAATATGGAATTCATTCAGTAAAATGTTTAATATTTTGGAAATTTTATTATGATGTTCAAGTAATATTTTTTTGTGGATTTTTTTTTTTTGCATTTGTATTTTAACTACGTTTTTTTTTGATAAACAAAATTTTTATAAAATAAGTTTCGCATGCCAAGAGTTTGTTGTTGTGGAATTTGGAACATTTAATTTAATTTCTTTACAAATTTAAAACTTAAAATTACAATTGTTTTCTTTGTTAGGGTGATTCTGGAGGACCATTGCTGTTCCATCAGCATATGCGGCATCAGCACTACAAGATTCCCTACGTGGTGGGCCTAACTTCCTTTGGAGGAGCCTGTGCCACTGGTCAACCCGGTGTTTATGTGCGAATAGCCCACTACCTTCAGTGGATAGAGCAACAGGTGTGGCCATGACTGCCCTGACATAAATGTTCTAAATAAAATAGAAATATTATTTTAAAGAGCCGAAACTATTGCCGATTATGAATTGTAAATGGCTTAATCATTAATTTAATATTTTAAATTTCGAAGAAAGGATATTAATAAATTAAATTACTGGTGATTAACAATTGTTAATGGTTTTTAAAGGCAATCTTCTCAATCCAATCCAAGTAGCTGTATAGCCTGGTGTAAACTCCCGGGGCATTGGGAGCTGCACAGAACTTCCCGAACGAGGTGATGCCCACCACGAAGGCCACACAGTTGTGTTCCGGCAGGATGGCATGGATGGGACCGCCGGAGTCGCCCTGGCAGGTGTCCCTGCCCCCGGGCAGATATCCGGCACAGAACTGACCCTCGATGATGCCGCGCGGCAGGCGTCGCTCCTTGCGATAGATTTGCTTGCAGCGCATCTGGGGAATCACGTCCAGGTCCACCTGTCGCAGGGCATTCGACTTGGCGCCCAGGAATTCGGTGCGTCCCCAGCCGGCGGCCACAACGGTGGGGATCTGGAGCTCGGGCAGTTGCCACAGGCAGGCGGGACGCACCTCGTCCGACAACCGGGCCCGTCTGGTCAGCTTGAGCAACGCAATGTCGTGGTAGTAGGCCGAGGATCGGTACTTGGGATGCAGCACGATGATCAGGATCTTGATGTCCTGTTGTGCCGAGCTGGTTTCGTTCAACTGGCGGGCTCCCAGTCGCACCATATCCGGTGGCTTGCTGTTGGATCAAAGAACAGCGATTTAGTTGTGCCTTATTTCGTACTGCAACTTACCTACCCGTGGTGGCACAATGGGCGGCAGTCAGGACATACAGCTCGCTGACCAGGGCGCCCCCGCAGCCCCACTTTATGTCCATGCTGTCCTTTGTATCCTTGCTCCCGCTACCCTGCGTCCATCCCAAGGCCGCCATGTGCGGGAATAGACCGTGCCGGGTGGCAGTGCCGCCCACAATCAAGGGCACGCTGGGCACGCACTGCTTTCCGGAGAAGGTGCGTCCGGTATCCGCCAGCTGAAGCCTTCTGGTCGCTGCATTGTACTCCTGGCATTCTGGGGAGGATCATAGAAATATCTTACAGATTAACTTAAGACATTTACCCATATTTTTTATAAAAAAAAATAATTATTAAAAGTTTTTTTAAGCCGAGATAATAAAATAATATAAAATACAATTCGCTTAAAAAGTGTAAGAAGGGTATACATTATAATATAAATAATTTTTAATCACTTTTTGCATGCTTATATGTATTTTTTTTTTTATTGAACAGTAATCAAAAGTATTAATACATAAGTTTGCCTCATTTTCCTTTTCTTTTTGCGTTAATTTTTGGTTTTAAAAAAATGGCTATTTATGCAAATTATGGCAAAAATTTGTATATATTATATTGAAGAAATGATCACCTTATTTAATAAAATGGTTTAGTCATTTTCGTAACCGATTTCAAAAAAACAATATCTACGGGAAAATTGAGTGATAAACTGATCAGTTTTAAAAATCATATCTCAGAAATGTTTGTTTCTTCATTACCAAGGAAACAAAAATGACTAAAAGTTAAAAATAAATAGTTAAAGTTAAAGTAAAACCCCTAAAATTTGACTCACTGGTGGCACTGACTCTCTGGGCCAAGACATGTTTGTCTGCCAGGGGACAACAGATGACGGGCACATTGTTCCGGTGGGTGCAGATGTCGATGCGGGTGCCGTGCACCCGATATTCGCGGATCACATGGAGGCACTGGTAGGCCAGGATGCAGTAGCCACTCCGACTATCGAAGCTGCGCCGGCAAAAGGCACCTTCTTGCAGTCCTTCGGAGGCAGGAGTCCTTAACTCATCGTCGTCGGCGAACTTTAAATAGCTGTCCTCCTCTTCAGTCTCCTGGTATTCTACATCCTCTCCAGCGGGCGCCACCGGCTGCTCTTCCCAATGTTCAGGGAATGTGTATTTTGTTGTCTGGTAGTTGATTATTTCAAGGGCATCGAGAGCTATGCGAAATGTAATGTTATTGTTGTTAGACTATAAATAATTCAAATTCATGAATAAATACCCCATAGGCGCTGAGTCTGCAGGAGCAAATGCAAGCATGTCAGTTGGAGATGTATAATTAGAGCCCAAATTATTATCATTCTATTGGGGTTGCTGGGGTCTCATTACTTTCATTAACTTCATCGAGACTTGTGTTTACTTAAATTATAAAGACAGTAAATGTTTTAAAGAATAGAAGAAAAATAAATCTTCCGTATATGGTTTTATGATTCTTATGATGTTCCTTTTTAATTATCGCATGAACTTTTGAAAAAAAACTCTTTTAAAACTGAAAATTTAGGTAGGAAATATAGTAAACTTGTTTTTTCTATTATAATAAATGATTTATTAATATACAAATTCTTAAAAAGTTGATTGCATTGCAATTTGTCTGATATTTCAGCTATCCAATTTAGCAATCTACTTGAAATGATTGTTAATCTTCGAGCTGGAATTTGGTGGATCGGCTTCAATACTTCAGCCAGCACTGTTTCCAAAACAAACCCTTGTCTGTCTGTGTGGATTTTTTTGTTTAATGTATTTTTATTAATTAATGCGGTCTCTCAATTATAAATTCGGCTGAATTTCAATAAAACCGTTTGCCTGTGCGCGCTGTGTTGTCTTTTCGCGCATTGTGGATTGGAAGATCCCAGTCGGATTAAGTCGGTCATTCGAACCAGACCTTCTACAGATGGCAGCGGATTTGAAGAGACTTTGTGTTTGGATCGCATTCGGATTGCTGTTGTGCGGATTCCGAGTAAAGGGCCAGCGGGAGCGGGCATTTCCCAATCCGAATCCCTATCCGCAGCCGGATCCAAGCAGGTGGGGCTACAACAACTACAATAGCAACAGTGGTTTCAATGGCCAGTGGCAACTTAACGACTACGGCTATTATAGACCACCACCGCCTCCACCCTGCGGAAGGCCACCACCGGGACCACCGCCACCGGGTCCACCTCCGCCAGGTCCGCCGCCCGGCTGTCCGGGCGGTCCACCTCCAAGACCGCCACCCCACAGGGAAAATCACCCATGGAGACCCCGTCGTCCGCACCCAGAACACCATCGCAACTTCCACAACATCTACCTGAACACCGAGCGCAAAGTGGACGGGGATAATTACAACAAGACCGCGGAGACGGAGGATTTGCACGACGATTTCAATGGTCGATCGATTGTGGCACCCGGACAGTATCCGCACATGGTCAGTTTCAGTATGAGTATCATATGCAGGTGCACTCCAAAACACTCAAACAGCACAAGCAAATATCAACGAAAACAAAAACCAAACAAATAACAAATAAAAGAAAGTAAAATCACATGAAACCGGAATGGGGGAATCGCCAAAGTGCCGGCGCTCACAACACAAACACGACTAAAACCGATGAGAGCTGCAAACTTGCAAATCGAAGCCCTATGCTCTACCATATATTAACAGTTATTTGGCCCCATCTAATCCACTCTTTTCCTATTTCAGGCCGCTCTAGGATTCCGAAATGAGAACCACGAGATCGACTACAAATGCGGCGGCAGTCTGATCAGTGAGTACTTTGTGCTCACGGCCGCTCATTGTTTAACCACTCACGGGTAAGCCTTTTCGATTTATCTCATACTCTTATTGAGTCTATTTTGGTTAATTGAGTGATTTTATTAAAACGAGAGAAATATCTCGATAGAAGATGTATTTCTAGTTTAATAGCATAATATGTCATGCCTAGAATTTAATAACATTTTGGTTTTCCGTTTTTAATTTAAAATCCAATTCTAATAACTTGTCAAAGATTATATTTCGTTGAAATATAATCGATTTTTAATTGTTTTTGATTTGTAAGCCAACATATATTTGCCTCTGCGCACGTTAGTGAATCTAATTATTTTAAAATAGTAAACCTTAGCATTGCATTGTATTGTTACTTGTTTAAAAATACATGATTTTTTTAGGACGATAAAGGAAGGAAAAAAACATTTTAAACATCTTATTTCAAATAATTGTTTCCATTTTATGACCCAGCACCGCTCCCGACGTGGTAAAAATAGGAGACATTAAGCTAAAAGAGTGGGAAAACGATGTGGCTCCCCAAAAACGACGTGTAGAGAAAATTTATTTGCATCCTCTGTACAACTCCACACTTAACTACCATGACATTGGACTAATCAAGTTGAACCGACCGGTGGAATACACCTGGTTTGTGAAACCAGTGCGTTTGTGGCCTAAAAATGATATACCATACGGGAAACTTTATACAATGGGATATGGATCGACGGGATTCGCTAAGCCGCAAACCAATATCCTGACGGAACTGGATCTGTCGATGGTGCCCACAGAACAGTGCAACACCAGTCTGCCCGCCGATGAGGGTTCTCCCCAGGGGATACTTTCCAGTCAGATATGCGCCCATGACTATGAGAAGAATCGCGATACATGTCAGGTGAGGAAGTCTATTTATGTACTATTTTTTTTAACTTCCAAATGCTTTTAAAATTTGGGATACACTGATAAAAAAATGGAATGGGATTAAATACATTTCTAAATTTTAACTCAACCCAAAACAATACTTCAGGGCGATTCTGGAGGACCTCTTCAGTTGAACTTGGAGCGTCGACGTCGCCGTCACAGAAGTCGAAGGCATTACCGCTACTACCTCGTTGGCATCACTTCCTATGGAGCTTATTGTCAGAGTGAATTCCCAGGTGTGTTATTTTTGAAATATATAAAACATATTAAAATACAAAATTCTTAATTTACAGGTGTTTACACTCGCGTTTCATCCTACATTGACTGGATAGCATCTATAGTGTGGCCTAACTACTATAGCGAGTTTACTGATCAATAAAAATAAATAGTTATTAATAAAGTTTTGCAATCAAATAATTTTGCGTTTTACAAATTTAATTAAATTCTGATTAGATCCAATATTCAAAACATTCCTAACTGATTGATTGAAAAGATTAAGATATCATTAAATTTGTAAAAGTTTTACAATATTATTGTAATTGCATTCAATTTGAGTTTAAATCAGTTTTCAATGCATTTTAGAAAACTTTTGGTCAATATTGGTACATTAGCTAATGCGCTTATAAGCTAAAAACCTTTTCCAAAAAGGTTGACTCTATTTACACTTTTACAAATATACTCCTATATAATTCACAGCAATTTGAAAATCGAAACACCTAAATATTTTTGTTTTTTTGCTGTTGTCTTTACATTTACCAGTATAAATGGTTGCCAGGCAGCGCTCATAGCAGACGTGCGTTATTAAATCAATTATGCAGTCTTAGAAAAACTATTTATTTATAAATGGTAGGAAAAAGCAAAAAGAAGCGAAATAGCAAGGATTCTACATCCAGTAATGCTGGAAGTGGCGAAGGCGAGGAAAAAAAGAAGAAAGAAGGCGGTAAAAAGAAAGGGGGCGTGGGAAAGTCCATTGGCTGTGATATTTTCAACGACGCTGCCATGGAAAATGCCTATTATGTGTGCCACAATGTGCAGGTGAGTGATAATTTAATGTTTTACTTTACTATCGTGAAATATATTTACTAAATAAATATTTTAGGATGTTCTAAAATCAAGAGGGTTCGCCTGGCCAGATGGACAAAAAAAGAAAAAGAAGGGAAAGCGCTAAGAGTGAAATTTACATTAATAAGTAAATAATAAATTACAGAGAATTTAGTAAAAAAAAATATAAACTTATATATTTTTTATGGTGAATAAAAACGTAAGATATTTTGAGCTTCCCCCCTGGCCTGCAGAAATGAGAGCATACGTGCTCATATTTATTTTTATGAAACCCAAACAAGTCATCATCGATCAAAAACAAACAATTCCAAAAAACGCAGCCTGCCCAAAGTTAAACGTCAGTGGCAAACACTTTTAGAACAAAGTCCGAACACATTTTTCCAATTCGGCGTGTGAGAAATAAAGGAAAGCAAAATTTGACTTGTTTCGTAGAATGTGCGAAGGCTGCACCATATAAATCGGAGCAACGTTTGCGCGATTTCAGTCGAAAATCAGCACTAGTGGCTGCAGCATCAAAAAATATATTGGAAATAAAGTATATATTTGAAGATACAGAACATACAGAATATAACCAGGAAAAATGGTAAAGACACCGGCTATTGGCATCGATCTGGGCACCACCTACTCCTGCGTGGGAGTTTGGCAGAACAGCAAGGTGGAGATCATTGCCAATGACCAGGGCAACCGCACCACGCCCTCCTATGTGGCATTCAACGACACGGAGCGCCTGATTGGCGATGCGGCCAAGAATCAGGTGAGTCAGGGTCCCCACTATGATTGTCCAAATACGTACGATGGGGCGCCAATATGGCCAGATGCGAATAGCTGCCCGCAATTATGTGATTTAATCGGATTGATCTTCATATATACATACATAAATAAATGCGAGAGATGCGGAAAGTGTGGGTGGCTGGGCGCCTCTCAACACTTGGATCCATACCAATATATTTGCACTCGGTTGGGTTGATTTATTTATGTAGGTGAAAGATCTCGAAATAATCTTTACACAGTTCAAAGTAATTCAATCTATTTGGAGTGCATATTCAATGCTTAAATTGATCGCTTGCCTGTATGGAGCTACAACAAAATCGTTTTATTTGTAAAAAACAATCCTCTTCAAAGATTAAATATAGATGCATAAAATATAAATATAAAACTATCTTTATAAAGAAAATCTATAGATTTTAATAAACACCTTACCCAAAGTACCTATTTATAACTTTTTATTTTTTACTTTTTACTTTTAATCCTATCCGCATTTTTAATAAATTAGGCGTGGTTTTAATAAAAAGCAAATATATATGGTAAAGTTGTAATATTTCATTCATTAATAGGAGTGACTGAAAGCATGCAGGGTCTTCATAGAATTGTTCGTTTATGTTTACTTTATAGATTTGCAAATATTATTTACTCTTTTACTGCCCTGTAAAGCCCAAACAAAATGTTACTTATCCTAAAAATAGTTGCCTATATGGCAGGAATAATTACTAATCACTGGATTCCTACTTATTCCAGGTCGCCATGAATGCCAAGAACACGGTGTTCGATGCCAAGCGCCTGATTGGGCGCAAGTTCGACGATCAGAAAATCCAGGAGGACCTTAAGCTATGGCCCTTTAAGGTTATCAATGATGGTGGCAAGCCGAAGATCGAGGTGGAGTTCAAAGGGGAACGCAAACGCTTTGCTCCCGAGGAGATCAGCTCGATGGTGCTGACCAAGATGCGCGAGATCGCCGAGGTGTATTTGGGTGGCAAGGTGAAGGATGCGGTGATCACAGTGCCGGCTTACTTCAACGATAGCCAGCGACAGGCGACCAAGGATGCGGGCTCCATTGCGGGCCTGAATGTGCTGCGGATCATCAACGAGCCCACTGCGGCTGCCTTGGCCTACGGCCTGGACAAGAACCTGAAGGGGGAGCGTAATGTGCTGATCTTTGACCTGGGTGGCGGCACCTTTGACGTCTCCATTCTAACCATCGATGAGGGGTCCCTGTTCGAGGTCAAGGCCACGGCCGGGGACACCCACTTGGGTGGCGAGGACTTCGACAACCGGCTGGTCAACCACTTTGCGGAGGAGTTCAAGCGGAAGCACAAGGCGGACATCAAGGGCAATGCCCGGGCCCTGCGACGCCTGAGGACTGCCTGCGAAAGGGCCAAGCGGACGTTGTCCTCCAGCACGGAGGCATCGCTGGAGATCGATGCCCTGCATGAGGGCATCGACTTCTACTCGAAGATCTCGAGGGCCCGATTCGAGGAGCTGAACATGGACCTCTTCCGGTCCACCATGCAGCCGGTGGAGCGGGCCCTGAGCGATGCCAAGATGGACAAGAAGGCCATCCACGATGTGGTCCTGGTGGGCGGCTCCACGCGCATCCCCAAGATCCAGAAACTGCTGCAGGACTTGTTCGGTGGCAAGCAGCTGAATCTCTCCATCAATCCCGACGAGGCCGTGGCCTACGGTGCCGCCGTCCAGGCTGCCATCCTCACGGGTGTGGGCAGTTCCCAGATCCAGGACCTGCTGCTGGTGGACGTGGCTCCGCTGTCGCTGGGCATCGAGACGGCTGGCGGTGTGATGACCAAGTTGGTGGAACGCAACGCTCGCATTCCCTGCAAGCAGCAGCAGATCTTCACCACCTACAGTGACAACCAGAACGCGGTGACCATCCAGGTGTACGAAGGCGAACGGGCCATGACCAAGGACAACAACCTGCTGGGCACCTTCAATCTCACCGGCATTCCACCAGCGCCCCGCGGCGTGCCGCAGATCGAGGTGGCCTTCGACCTGAATGCCGATGGCATCCTGAATGTGAATGCCAAGGACAGCAGCACGGGCAAGTCGGAGAAGATCACCATCACCAACGACAAGGGAAGGCTGTCCAAGGCGGAAATCGATCGCATGCTCTCCGAGGCGGAGAAGTACAAGGTGGAGGACGATCGTCAGCGGGAGCGGGTTCAATCCAGAAACAACCTCGAGACGTACATATACGGCTGTCGCCAGGCCGTCGACGAGGCTCCGTCCGGAGTGCTTTCCGAGGCCGATCGCTCCAAGGTGCGCGACAAGTGCACCTCCGAGACGTCCTGGTTGGACCAGAACTCCCTAGCCGAGAAGGAGGAGTACGAGCACCATTTGAAGGAGTGCCAGCGCATCTGCAGTCCCATTATGTCGAAACTCCATGCCGGACCCAAGGGCAAACAGTCGGCAGGCAGTGGCCCGAGTCCCAACGTGGAGGAGGTGGACTAGCTGCCACCCAATAAGCTTATTTATTCACTCATTTAAATTTCAATATTGAACGAAGAATTTCGAAAATAAATCACTTGGCGTGTTTGGTGCAATTTTTCGGTGTTTTTTGCCAGTTTTGGTAGGTGCCCTAATTGAGTTTTATTACATATTTATATTTAAAAACCCAAAAGTCTAAATAAAGGCTTTAAAATATCCTTGTATTTGTAATTTCTATTAAAAGTAAGAAAACAATCAATACAAATAGATAACATTTTTTGGAAATATTTTCCGCCTTTAGCTTGTATTGCTGTATCATATGTGAATCCAACAATTTTGTTAGTTGAATTTTTACTTTTATATGATATTTATAACTATACAAGGGAAAACAAATTTTTAAGGGTCTGGCCATTTTCATGTAAGTAAAAATTCGCTTCGGCATCATTAAGTCGTCTTTTTAAGGACTCTTAAAACTTGTGGCAAACGCGAAGACCACAAAAAAAGAAGGAGCACTTCGGCTAAGGTATTAATATTATTCCCCTAATTCTTATTAAGAAATCCAAGTTAGTAAGCTGGCTGGTAACATTTCTTCACAAACTCTACAAAAAGCGGTGCAAGCATAGGCAAGCGGATAACACGACTGCAATGAATCAATTAAACCGCTTTGTTTGGCACTTAAATATACGTTTCCAATGTTTTGCATATTAACCTTTTGCTCCCAGCTTTTTTTAAACAGCTGGATCGGGGTTTGCTTGCGTTTTGCTAGGGTTTTTGGGTAAGCCCGATCAGTATACCCCGAAAAATTGTCGCGAAATGGCCGTCGCGCCGAGCAAACTGCTGGAGCCGCCTCTGAATCGGATACACTGTACCGTTTTACACAGTCGACCGGGTCAAAGTTGCATGCAAGCCTTTCTCTGGAATCTGTACCGCAATCATGTGTCCAGTGCGAAATACTATTCACCCATGTTGCTGGTCTGGTAGTTATTTCATTCATGCCCTGTAAAATGGGAATACAATTGCAAATGGGGTTACAACACAGTGAAAAATACATTTTGGACCCTATCTTCCTTCCATCTAGCCATGTCCGTCCGTTGATTAAGCTCTCTACTCCAAGTATAAGTCGGAACGGACCGACCCTAAGGAAACAACCATAAAAGTAACAGACAAATATGTATACTTCGTTGTAATATATTCTTCTTGTACAATGAAAGATCTTTATTTTATACAGTATCGCTTTTAAAAGAGTTTGTGCATACTTATACTTTTAGAAAGTCAATTGGAGAAATTAATTTATTATTTCTCCATGTAAAATAATTACGCAATTATAGCCTAAACTAAGTTTCTGTATTCAAGTTTTAGCGATATTTTTAAAACGCTGGAAACAATTTTTTTTATTTATTTTTGAACAAAAAATTCATTATAATTTACTTAGTTATTCACTTCATTTTATTGTGCAGCTTTCAAATTAATTAAAATTGGGACATCAGGAATTTTTTTAGTTGAAGGTTCGTTCGTCACATTATTATTACTTCGTCAAGGTAATATTTTAAATTTTATAGTGATACGACTGACGGCAATACTTCCTTGTATAAGCTAGTTAGCTTACTTACTTGTTTTTTATTTTGTGTATGTAAGAAAATTATTTTTAAGCTACACATTCTTTATCACACCAAGTCTATCTGTGAACGTTAAATTTGTTTATTTATTTATTTTTTTGCAGTTGCCCTTAGTTATGAATTGGCGACGTCTTTCTAAAAACATAATATATTCAGTGGTGAAAAACTATGCCCAATCCGTCAGTTTCGCCGCCTGCATCAATGCCATCACTTTTTTCCTGATGTGCGTGGGCAGGCGTCTTAATGGACGATTCGTCTTCATATTTATACCATATCTGCCTTGCTGGATTGCCTCGCACCTCAGTTGGTTGATGCCTCCTCAGGTTCTTCATTTTTTTGTGACCGGAATAACATCCGCAGTAAGAAGTTTAATATATCCCAGAAGGGCGAAATAAATCGTTAGACATTAACAGGCCATTGAAAGCGTACTGAGGTATTTTGAAGTCGGTTCGGTGCGTTCCCGCTTGGTTCAGACTCTCATCTTCATGATCTCCTCTGTGGTGGTCATGCACTATCAGCAGACAAGGAAGTATTCCGGTTTCTGGTTCATCCGACCGGCTTCTTTGCCCGAGGACCATGAGAAATGGACGCTCTCGAGGCTTTTGATGCAGGGTTTAAGGGAATTGAGATCTTACCTGGGCATTGGATTGGCGTTGGATCTAATAAATCCCATAATGAGGAGAAACATAAAACTCCTGCGGCCCAAGATGACAAGTTTTTTGGCGGGCTATATAGGACTCTTTAAGGTACGTTGTACGCTATCGTGATTATTGATATGCCAGTTTCTTATAAAATACTGTTCACCTTGTTATAGCAATTTCATTTAAAAGATCGTTTTATTTTCATTAAAAAAAATGTTAAGTGAAATCTAAACTAAACTAGTTGAAAACTTAATGTTTGGATTTCCTACGTTTTTTTAACTAGTGTAATATATCTTCTTATATAATAATAATATTTTTCAGTTGGTGCAATTACTGTTGCTGAATAGTTTGGAATTAAAACAAGCCAATGCGCTGGCATCTTTTATAAGTGGCGCTACCTTTGCTCTACTACCAAATCGACTCACCTTCATGTGTTTCGCTGTTGTAACGACTGGCCAGGTGATTTGGAAACAGGTGTGCAATCTCAAATCTGACAAAGATCCAGTACTAGCTGCGGTGCAAAGGATTCCCTGGTCAAGGCTGCTAATACCCTGCAATCTGGCTTATTTGGTCCACATTTTCTTTTACCACCAACATCACCTAAACGAGATTGCCCGCAGTTTCATAGACTGTACGTGTGATAAGAAGTAAGTTAACTAGTCATTAGATTCTTCTCGAAAATAAATTAACTCAATAAAAACTCTTTGATTGCAGCGGTCAACGTTTATTGGATGTCATGAATCTGCCCAGTATAAACGAAATTCTAGAAACAGTGAATAAGTCACCAAAAACTTCGTTTTGGTTTTAAGTTGGAAGTCGACTGTTACATAAATAATTGTAAAATTTGTTTTGCAAGAACCTCATACCCTACGTGCAGCTTTATTTTATAGATGTCGTAAATGATAAAATTTTTATTTTTTTCATGAAATAAATTGTCAGAACCGCAACATAAATGACACATCAAACTTTAAACATAACTTACTTTACGCGTTAGCCAAATAAAGTTATAAGCGAATCGCATAAATTAACTTTTGTCTTATCTAAAACGTGTTTTTAATTTGGCGAGCACCTGGAGATATCTCCCAATTTACTAGTGGAGAAATTGGTTATGCCTCTTATTCTGCGTTTAGACCAAATGGAGATGTCTCCAAAGCGACTATAGTTGCTTAAGTATACTTATATTTTCGGTTTAATTGACTAAGAAAATAAGCACAAGGCTCTTAATGTTTTTTTTAACAGCAACATTCAAGTGCTTCTTTAAAAAATGTTTTTATTAAAGCTTTGTTTATGTTAATATACATATATATATATATATATAAGTTTGTACGGCAAAAGGATGGCTTAAGCATCATTAGCCAGCCAAATGTCGGAAGTGCAATCACCACCAGGATATCGCATTTCATGTGGCAAACTGGGACCATATGGCTCTTTTCCGAAGTCCACCAAAAAGTCTTCATTTAAGGATATGCCACCATTCACAGTATCCACATCGATAAGGACAATATGACCGCCTTGCGAGACCATTTTTGGATAAAACTAATAAAGATTAAGGGGATTATATTTCCTATATTTAAAAAATATTTCATTAAAGACTCACCTGCTTATCCCAGGGAGAATATAAAGATGACGAGACATACAAACGCTTGCCATCCAGTGAAAGCTGCATCATTTGAGGTCCGCCTTCCAATCGTCGACCCTTAACATATCGAGCTGGGGGTCTTTCCTAAGAAAAGAATATCTTTCAAGAAGTGCAAATATATATCGTAGCTTCACACGAACCTTGAGTTCCTTGTCCTCCTTAACAATCACATTGGGCAGATCACTGCAAATGGCACCTCCCAGGAAAAGCTGGCCTGTTAGCTTCGGATTCTCGGGATCGGTAATGTCATATTGCCTTACATCCCCATGTCGCCAGCAGTTGACATAGAGGAATCGGTCATCCAACGATATAATTATGTCCGAGATCATGCCGCCCATGTCCTCCGCCTTTCCATTGCCGGTATCAACTAGTTTGCACGGAATGTCTATCACTTTCTTGGCCTCGAACTCATCGGAATCAGCCTTCTTTTTGAAGTAGAACACCTTGGCATTCAGGGCACAGCCAACGAATCCTTCGGGGCGTTTAGGGTCATGTAGGAAACGAATCTCCAAGGGCGTTATGCCATCCGCTCCCAGATCAATAGTTTGGTATAGAGTCTGCGTGGACCATTTGTAGAAGTTCAACCGACAGCCATATTGGGTCAAATCATCAAGGTCACCATTCTTCCAGCCACTTTAAATAAATAATTTAAATCATTTTAAAAATGCTTTCAAATCTAATTTAACACTTAGAAATTAGGGAATTTAAGAACTGACCTTTTCATTTACCAGTTATCTTTTTGGAGATTTTTCTTTTATATATTATATTTATGCTTACCGTCGCCATTTATTGGGTGCTCCCCATTCGGACGAGACCATCACATCGAAATACGGCTGATACCAGAAATCGTAGCCACATAAGGCCTTCTTGTCGCCCTTCGTCCAAGTGCCGATGCAATTGAATTCCGAATCGAAGAGGATAAAGTCTCCTTTGGCATATCCTTCGGCATCGCCCATTATGGATATCATGATATTGCCATTGGCCAAACAGTGGGTCGTATGTGGACCCGTAACATTGTGACTCTTCAACACATCACCATCGATTGTCTTGATTATCTCTGGCTTTCGGGGATCCGTCACCACATCGAGTATATACACAAAGTCGGAGTTCAGGGCCGGCAGCACCAGTCTGTCTCTTTTTGGCACACTCTTGGAATTCTCGTCCACATAATAGCAACTGGAGCAAGCGTTCCAGCCAGAGTGATGCAGCTCATCACCTTTCCGGTTTGTAAATGTCCGATGCACTATCTGCAATAGATGATATCCAAAACATGTTAAAAAAAAAAATAAAAACTTTTATATCGCCAACAAAAAAAATGTAAAATACTTAAATCATTTTAAAGGTAATTTTTTTTAGAGTGAGTTTATTTTTTTAAGATTTTTTAGCACTTTGTTTTTTAAGCTCACTTTAATACATTTCTACATAGTACAGTCTACATCGATTGTGGTCTGACATATTTGTTTGTACTATCTGCAGTGTTTGTTAATATTCTCAATCCAAAATATTTGATGGGATGACCCATGCTATTATTTCTTATACGAAAATCAATTAATTAATATTCCTAATGTAGTTTACTCTACAGTATATCGCCTACAAGTTGATTGTATTTGCTCATTAAGCATAGTGTAAGGTGAACTCGAAGTTGCTTTTATTTACCTGGCAGTAGGTGGGGCTCTCGGGATCCACATCGACCGTGGACAGGTAATCGCCGTGGGGCTCGTCCAAGTTGGGCTGAACGGTGACCGTGTAGAGTAGCTTCTCCCGGGGACCACTTCTCATGGCATCCAGTGGGGTTGCGTAACCGGGACCGCGGCAACAGGCTGCAGAAAAACAACTTAATTATCAAAATTGCTCTGGGATTTGTATTCACTTTATCAAAGATTCGAGGCATGTGTTTGTAATACAAAGTATTTGCTAGTCTTTTTACTTTTGTTGGACATTGCTAGGCGGTTGTTGTTGAACGAAGAACAGCGACAAACTGAGTATCATCCGATGTTGGACGAAAGCTATATACTCGGGTTCTCTTGGCTCCATAGCTTTAGCTTGTATACATTTGTTTTTAAGCTCTTAAAACAATTAACGAAGAGAACCGATTCGCCCGGCTTTCTTATCACTAATACTAGTTAGGTCAGTTACACGTGTTCGTGTATGAATGGTTTAATCTTTCTTAATGTTTAATTATAAAAAATCGTCTTTTGATAAGACTTATGGGCGATAGAGCCTTAAAATTTGTTTACCTTTATTTGGTTCATTCCTTTCTATAACAATTTCTCCTGATACTACATTAAATTAGCTAATTAAGTACAAAGCTTAAGACTTTTTTAACGGTGAATTGGTTTTAACAACTTTATACTTATAATTTGGCGAAATCCGGTTAAACTAAAACCAGAATAAAACTTTTATAAAATATTTTGAATGTTTAATAAGCACAATAAAAAAATGGAAGTATAAAGGAGTTATATTAGAATAAATAAACTATGCAATAATAAAACTTATAACGTTTTATATGTTTTTTTGGTAATAAGCGCAGGAGCCAAATATTTTTGGTTGTTCTTCTAAAAAGCGCCAACGCCTGATCATTTTCAAATTTTCAAGACCCATGTTTTTTGGGGTCCTGATTACGAATTAACAAGTCAAAGTTTTTGACAAGAACGATTTCTTGCAAAATAACGGTATTCTTGGTGTTCTGGCAGTTTTTTGCAAAATATGACCTTTATCACAAAACACAAACATTCAAAAGTTCAAGGTCTAATTGAAAAACACATTTTGTGTTTTGTGAATTTTTTCGGTAAAATTAATATTTAACGAGACCGTAAAACGTATTCGATACATTTGGTCACGAAAAATACCACGCCGTGAAACGGTCACACAGCGAACTATCGATAGTGCAGCGCGGCCTTGCCAGATCGGCGAAAATGCAAAGCAACACCGATTGGCAGGGAGAAACATTTTAGCGCGTTGCGACGGACCTGTGAAAAAGCAATCGTAATAAGCGTGGTAGCAACTCCATTCGAAATTAAGTGGCTCTAGCGAACCCAGCGGATCCGGAATAAGCCATGTCGCATCACTACGTGGTGACGGCGCAAAAGCCGACGGCGGTTGTTGCCTGTTTGACGGGTAAGTAGGTGCACGGCGGGGGGGCGGGGGAGGGTCTCCTATGCGGTCTCCCCGGCAAAGGGAGAAAACAGCAAAACAAGCATGTTTGCCGGTCGCCTTGTGTAATCAATCCAAGATGTTTGCTAAACACCGGCTTTTTCTCTCCCCTCAGGCAACTTCACCTCGCCCACGGACCTCAATCTGATCATTGCCCGCAACAACCAGGTGGAAATCGATCTGGTCACGCCGGAGGGACTGCGTCCGCTGAAGGAGATCAACATCAATGGCACCATTGCCGTGATGCGGCACTTCCGGCCGCCTGACAGCAACAAGGACCTGCTCTTCATCCTGACGCGTCGCTACAACGTCATGATCCTGGAGGCGCGCATGGTCAACGATGTCATCACGGTGGTCACCAAGGCCAACGGCAATGTGTCGGACTCGGTCGGCATTCCCTCGGAGGGTGGCGTCATCGCCGCCATCGATCCCAAGGCGAGGGTCATCGGGATGTGCCTCTATCAGGGTCTGTTCACCATCATACCGATGGACAAGGATGCCAGCGAGCTGAAGGCCACCAATTTGCGGTAATTCCGGGCACTATTTTGGGGAGAACCTCTTGATACATGATTATAATGATGTTGGATATACCTTTTCCTGTTTCAAATAACATAGAAGTCAAGAAATGTATAAGCGCTTAGCTTTCGTGCGAACGATCTGTTTATACAGTTTATTATTTACTGTTTTAAAAAGATAGATTAGTTTAGTTAAATTCGGGGCTTTAGCATGTAGCTTCCATAGACAGATTTACGTTTAATTTTTAATCTTTAAAAACCTACTATTAACCTTTTCATACAGTCTACATTTATTTTACAAATATTGACCCTCTTTTATTGCACTCTGATATATCCGAACTTAACTTATCCGTACTCTTTTCCAGCATGGATGAGCTGAATGTGTACGATGTGGAGTTCCTGCACGGCTGCCTCAATCCCACCGTCATAGTCATCCACAAGGACAACGATGGCAGGCACGTGAAGTCGCACGAGATTAACCTGCGGGAGAAGGAGTTCATGAAGATCGCCTGGAAGCAGGACAACGTGGAGACGGAGGCCACCATGCTGATCCCCGTGCCATCGCCCATCGGTGGTGTGATCGTGATCGGTCGGGAATCGATTGTCTATCACGACGGGAGCAACTATCATGCGGTGGCGCCGCTCACCTTCCGCCAGAGCACCATCAACTGCTACGCCCGTGTGAGTAGCAATGGTTTGCGCTACCTGCTGGGCAACATGGATGGCCAGCTGTACATGCTGTTCCTAGGCACCTCGGAAACGAGCAAGGGCGTGACTGTCAAGGACATCAAGGTGGAGCAGCTGGGCGAGATCTCTATACCGGAGTGCATTACTTACCTGGACAACGGGTTCCTCTATATCGGAGCGCGTCACGGGGACTCGCAGTTGGTGCGCCTCAATTCGGAGGCCATCGATGGCTCCTATGTCGTGCCCGTGGAGAACTTCACCAACTTGGCTCCGATTCTGGACATTGCTGTGGTGGATCTGGATCGTCAGGGACAGGGTCAGATCATCACGTGCTCGGGCAGCTTCAAGGATGGATCTCTACGCATTATTCGCATAGGAATTGGCATCCAGGAGCATGCCTGCATCGATCTCCCGGGCATCAAAGGCATGTGGTCTTTGAAAGTGGGAGTCGACGACAGTCCGTACGAGAACACTCTGGTGCTGGCCTTCGTGGGACACACTCGAATTCTCACCCTCTCCGGCGAAGAGGTGGAAGAGACCGAGATTCCCGGATTTGCCAGCGATCTGCAGACCTTCCTATGCTCGAATGTGGATTTTGATCAGGTGGGTTTTGTCTTGTCGAGAACATGTTTAATATATATTTATTAATTTTGAAACTTTTCCCTCAGTTGATTCAAGTCACTTCGGATAGTGTTCGCCTGGTAAACTGTGCCACCAAAACCCTCGTGGACGAGTGGCGTCCAAAGGGCGATCGTGCCATCGGCGTGGTGTCCTGCAACACTACTCAGATTGTAGTGGCCTCTGCTTGTGACATATTTTACATTGTTATCGAAGATGGAGGCCTAAAGGAGAAGTGCCGCAGGACATTGGCTTATGAAGTGGCCTGCTTGGACATCACTCCCTTGGATGAGACGCAAAACAAGTCGGATTTGGTGGCCGTGGGCCTATGGACGGATATATCTGCTGTAATTCTGTCTCTGCCCGAACTCGAGACCATCTACACCGAGAAACTAAGCGGAGGTAAGCTACATTTTACGTTTTAAGGAATTACAAAGAGAACTTAGAACTTTTATCTCCACTCACTTGAGTTGCTCACGTTGAGTTGGTTAGCATGTATTAAAATTCATTTCCAAACGACTAAGATTTAGAGTATAAAAGCCCTAATGAGTGTTAATTTTTGCAGAAATCATTCCCCGCTCCATTCTGATGACCACCTTTGAGGGCATCCATTATCTGCTGTGTGCTTTGGGTGATGGCTCAATGTATTACTTTATTATGGACCAGAAAACTGGCCAGCTGACGGATAAGAAAAAGGTCACCCTTGGCACGCAACCGACCACGCTGCGCACCTTCCGGTCCCTATCCACCACGAATGTGTTTGCCTGCTCCGATCGTCCGACGGTGATTTACTCGTCGAACCACAAATTGGTGTTCTCCAATGTGAATCTGAAGGAGGTGAACCACATGTGCTCGCTGAATGCGCAAGCCTATCCGGATAGTTTGGCGCTGGCCAACAAGAACGCTGTTATTCTGGGCACCATCGATGAGATCCAGAAGCTGCATATTCGAACAGTGCCGCTGGGCGAGGGACCGCGGCGAATTGCCTACCAGGAAGCATCGCAAACATTTGCCGTGTCCACTCTTCGCATCGATGTCCATGGCAGAGGTGGTGCAAAGCCACTGCGTAATAGTGCCTCCACACAGGCGCAGAACATAACTTGTAGTTCGAATATACTGCCCAAGCCGGGTGGCGGAAATTCTACGGCTGCCAATGCAGAAGTGGGTCAGGAGATCGATGTGCACAACCTGCTGGTCATCGATCAAAACACGTTCGAGGTACTGCATGCCCACCAGTTCGTGTCCCCCGAAACTATATCCTCGCTGATGTCCGCCAAGCTGGGCGATGATCCCAACACGTACTACGTAGTGGCCACATCGCTGGTGATACCAGAGGAACCAGAGCCGAAGGTGGGCAGAATAATCATCTTCCACTATCACGACAACAAGCTCACCCAAGTGGCCGAGACGAAGGTGGATGGCACCTGCTATGCCCTGGTCGAATTCAATGGCAAAGTTCTGGCCGGAATCGGCAGCTTTGTGCGCCTGTACGAGTGGACCAACGAGAAGGAGCTGCGCATGGAGTGCAACATTCAAAACATGATTGCCGCCTTGTATCTGAAGGCCAAGGGTGATTTCATCTTGGTTGGTGATCTGATGCGATCCATCACGCTGCTGCAGCACAAGCAGATGGAGGGCATCTTTGTGGAGATCGCTCGCGATTGTGAGCCCAAGTGGATGCGAGCCGTTGAGATACTCGACGATGACACGTTCCTGGGTTCCGAGACAAATGGGAATCTGTTCGTGTGCCAAAAGGACAGGTGCGTTGAGGAGATGGAAATGCAATCCCCGTAATCCTGTTACAATTTTACTTTCAAATATTTTAGTGCCGCCACCACCGACGAGGAGCGTCAATTGCTGCCGGAGCTGGCCCGCTTCCACTTGGGTGATACCGTGAACGTTTTCCGGCACGGATCTCTGGTGATGCAGAACGTGGGCGAGCGGACCACGCCAATCAATGGATGTGTGCTGTACGGAACGTGCAACGGCGCCAT